CTTGATGGTTGATTTTCCTGGGGCAGTGTCCGGAAATTCGTTATCAAGCCAAGTTTTTGCTTCAACTGTATTTTTTCCCTTCAAAAAGCAATATTTTATCAACACGCGAAATTCCTTTTTATCCATTTTTTTCACAATAACAAAAGTTGCTTCACTAAAAATGCTATAATTCACAAACTAACGATCCGACAGTCGTCAAATTTATAGACGCGTCTTTTGAAGGTTAGGACTAACTGAAAATCATATGGATTTAGTTCGACTGCCGCCATCTATGTGTCAGGCCGGGGACTTTTCAATTGACTCTAGTATAAAGACACCTTATGACCAATAGAAAATATGGTTTCTGTATACGTTATGGGACTGGCGTCTGGAGGGGGAAATCGACTGGGGTGGGAGACCTTGTAGATCTTTAAACAAATGTTTACTTTTGAAGACGCTGGGGTGGAGGTAAAAATTGGAAATGATAACTGTGTAGATGAGACGGACCGTCTGTCAGTGGTGTTGGAGTTGGAAGAAGGGATAGGAATGACCTTGCAGAACATCATCTACAAGGCCATCCCTACATCTTCCACCTACACAGTATTGTATTAACAAAAAAATATAGTAACAGTCCACTACAATTTGTCGTGAACTTTCTTCTTTGAATTTAGCAAAAATTGAATAACTTACAGGTTACAACTTTCATGGAAATGAAAAAGTTCAGAAAGCATTAAGCACGGTCCTGTTAAGAACGTGAAGTGAAGTGGGTGTATTATACCTGTAGTTAAATTTTTTATGATCACTTGGCTTATAAGATCCTGCAGAAGTTATCTTGTTTCTGCTTTTGGTTTGGCCAAAAATTCAACTTGAAGCCGAAAACTGCAAGATCGAAATTTGTTATTTCTATTGGGATCCGTCAAATGGGCATACACCATGTGGTGGCAAAATTTATAACTCGAATGACGGAAAAATTTACATAGGAACTGTGCACGCAAATTGTAAAATTGTTTATTAAAATAATAAAACACGTTAAAAAAGTAAAAATTTTTTTGATGATGGAGTCGACGAAGTTTTCTTCTAAAGTTAAATCAAATAAAAAGTTAATATGTTCAGTGAAAAGCTGCAATAGCACTTCAGACATAGATCTTCACTCTTCAGCTACATTAACTACTTTCCAATAAAAACTAACCGTTTTATATATGTAAAAAATATATTCGGAAAATTAGAGAAAAAAGTAAACTAATAGAAGCTTGGATGAAAGCAGTAGGTATCAAAGAAGTGAATTCCGGAATAAAAATTTGTTCACGTCATTTTAATGCACATGATTATATTTCAGCAAGTATTTACCATCAGCCATAACCTTAATATTTAAAACTAGAATCATACTAAAATTATAAAGTGAGAAATTATTTATTCCTGTGTAATTGATTTAACACAATTCTAATGATACGATATAAGTATTTTGAGGTTAAGAACCTACCTGCTGCAATACAACAAAGTTGCAATAATGTGTTTGCAACGTTCTCTTAAATCGGCTTTGCACGTGCAAGTCATTGATATGATATTGCTTAAATCACCCAGAATCACCTCACCAATTATATAACGTGAATCACTTTTTAAATCCGAAGTTTGTAAAAAGTAGGCAGTAAACTTGACGGAATTTGAAGGCTAGCTTCCGGATTTGTTATTTCCGAATTTTATAATGTGATTGGCATTAAAAACACGCTCACCTTCAACGAAATTTCCTTTCCGAGGCTTTGTGTCAGCCCAATCACATATTGTGTCAATACTTATCATTTTATCGTAATTTAAAAACTTGGAAATTGCATGGTACACTATAGGAACTACGGTAAATTTTCCCTAATCGGCGCCATGTTTTTAGGCTCCTCCCGTTTGACGGATCCCAATTGTCGATATAATGATTGGGAGATGAGGACAATATGTTACCGAGTTTTTTTTCTGTTTTAGCATACTCTGCGCCTAGTGCTAACGAAGATTACGACCCCGAGTTCGGTGAAGACGATAAGGACATGCAAAATGATAATAATGATGATTACGGTGACGAAGATGAAGGAGAAGATAGTCCTGATTTACCAGAACCAACGATAAACACCGTAGGTCAAGATTTTATAGCGCGGGAAAATGAAACTGTTTATTTACCGTGTGATGCCAGCAATGCAGGTAAGCAAACGTTAAGAACAAATTATTAAAAATATAATGCATAATTATTTTTAATTAGTACAAAAGCATAATGATTATCTCAGGAATCGATTAGGAAATACGACCCTGATAATTTACGTAATCTGTTTAATAAATGTAAACCGAGGTCAAAAAATCATTAGGATAGATACATCAAACATATCTTTTAAAATACCTCCCATTTTTGGTAATTGCTCCTACCCAATCTCCGTTTCCATTATTCAAAATGTTCGTTACAAGTAAGGCTCGTCCTTATTGTCATCACGTGCCACCAGTGTTGTCATCGCATGACCATATTACATTTAGAGAACAAAAGGGAATTACTAGGGATGGTCGTGCAGCATGGTGATCGAATAAATAGGCCAGAAAGCGTTGCTGAAAGTGCAAGTGTATCGGCATGATATGCAGCGTCCATCCATTACAATCTCCTTGTTTAAAAAGCGGCGGTTACTATTTGTCCTTTAAGATAAAAATGCTATGATAGACATTCCCATTAGTGTCCAAAATGAAACGAACACAATTAGACTCATTTTGGATCGACTTTTTATCAACTTCTTCACGGGCTTTAGTGAAACGTTTAATTTGTTTGAAAAGACCTGATTTCTTTGGTGTGTTATTTTCATAAACAACCCCCAAGGGTTTATCAATTTCCTGAAAGTTTTCCTAGGTTTCACAAAAAAATTGATGGTGAATATTTGTTGTATCTGTTAATCAATCTCAATTGTCTGCAAGGGTAATATAGTGTGGCATACAGAAAAATATTCTCCTCGTAATTATCTTCGGTGCTTCCGTGTATCTCCCCCTCTTGCAGCCTATACTCATGACGATATATATCACCCCTAGACTCTCATAGCCTTATAATGACATTCAATTATGAAAGTATACAGTGTGTATTAGGTAAATTCTAAGTTATTCATCATTCTATTTTAGGTTTGTACGTGTTTCTTTATTAACGTGTTTTTAGATACTCTGGTCACATTTTGGAGTAAAAATGGCGATTATATATTCCAAGACGACATTCGATTCAATAACTTTGGAAAGAATTATCAGCTTTTTCCTAACAGAACTCTCGTTATAAAAAATGTAGAAGCAAATTATACTGGAGATTACACATGTTCAGTGGTGAGCAGCGAAACCAGTCAGATTTCCATTACCCATAGGTTATTTGTCCAATCGTCCCCTTCCATCATATCGTTGGAAGCAGCGAACAACAAAACAGTGGTAAGAATAAATAGTTAATAATATCAAAACCAATATCGCGAATTCGAACTTGGATCGAAAACAATTCCTTATATTAGAAACTTATACAAAAAAAAATAACATGGGAAAATTGGTCACCCCCTTGCTGCGTGTATGTGTATCTAGTAATTTTGAAAGTTGAGTTTTGCTCAAATTTTTCTAGTACGAACATGGCGAAAGATTAGTATTAGTATGCAAAGCAAGTGGTTATCCAAAGCCAACGATTATTTGGTCATTTAAAGGACAAGGGATAGTTGGAGAAGGAGATTCTATCACGATTGATAATATTAGCCACACGGATGCTGGTTCTTATCAGTGTTTGGCGGATAACAAGATTGGAATTCCTGCACACAAGGCAATCCGCATCAGTGTTGTCCGTAAGTAATAATAAATGCTATACAATGAAGCATTGATATAAATAATAATAGACAAAATCCACGTTAAATTAAAAAAACAATACAACGTGTAATTATACAACACGCTACTGAAGTGAAACTTCTTCAAACACACAAACATACCGGGATAGGGGTTAAGGAATTGGTTTAATGGTATTATTTGTACACTATGAATTTAAATTTTACACTATACATACCGGAGTTGCCTGTAACAAACGTTACACTGAAGCGCG